TATCATAAGATTTACGTTCCATGTATTTATGTCTAGTGCTGTGGAAGAGGAGGGTGTAAGCGCAACCGATGAACGCGAGGGGGCTGAGGGTGAGGAAGAGGAACAAGAACATGATGAAAGCAGCGAGGAGTCTTCATCAGAGGAGTCAGGTGCCGAAGATGATGGCGCAGAGGACGGAGGACCGGAAGATGAAGAGGAGGAAGACGAAGCTGCTGCAGCTTTGCCAATCTCCAAGGAGCAACAAGAAGCAGAGGAAGAAGATCTTGGAAAGGTTTGTTTCATTTGTCATGCTAATGGAGTGTTCTCGCTCTGAGCAAGCTGTTACGTTGATTGGAAAGATTTGCGTAACATCCTTTGAAGAAGTTATGTCTCAATATTTTAAGTCTTTTGCCTTAAAATAGTAAGAAGGATTAAAATTGTAATGTGGTTTTAAGACGAAAAACAACAATAAGTAAGAATAAACTGACGAACTATAACGTGAAGTGAATTTAAAGAGAGTGAACTGGAAAACTTGGGCAGTAATGTTGTTTGACTCGAATCTTAACTTGGTTTTGCTGTATTTTTCTCTTGCTTTTTTGTGTAAATTCAACCTTATTTTAAGCCTTAATACTGATTTACGTGAGACATTTTTAGAGGGAAATCATGTTTTGTTACTTTTGTGGTTTAAGACGAGAGATGATGTAATGGCCACTCAGTTTGAAGAGAGACAAAGGCAAGTATCGTAGCAGAACCATTTGGTGCAAAATTTATATTTCTAATATAGACGTGCTAGTTCCTCCACTGCAGTGTTTGTTTGTGCCTTGCTCATGTTCTTCCCCGTGTATTGATTTCCTATGCAGTTTACAAGACAATAGCATGGTGGATTCTCCACAGGTAATGTGAGCATTAAAACACAAGTCATGGTCAAGTTATTGTATCGTGCTGAAATATTTACATGACTAACTCTTTTTTGTGTGTGTATTACATTTTAGAATTGTGTCAAGTTAGAGTTGTCAGCAAGTGAATCAAAGCCTTTTTCAAGGTAATTAGGTGGTATTTTGTGTGAAATAACAAATTAAAGGGAACGAATTTATGAAAAGTGCACAATATCACGCACTTTTGCCTCGTCACTTGTAGAAAGATATCGTTTTGTATTCATGCCACCATAACTAAGTAGGATACAATGTTTTGACTTATTTTTATTTTACACCGGCTAAGCTACTTATGAACTCCACCAAAAAAATTGTGATAAACCTTGTTCTGCAGTTTTGGCAGCGGGGAAGAAGACGGTGAAGAATCGTTTGACGACTCTGATGCTAGGAGAAAACTGGAAGAATACCAGGGAAGTACAGCGGCTGCTGCATCCGCCAACAGAGATGGAGAAAACAGTAGAGACGGGCTCAGTGACAGTGACGATAGCGGTGCACCACAGCATGAACAGCAGCAGGCCGTGGAAGCAGCAGCTGAAGGTGCTGTCGCTGCCGCTGCTTCGGGAATGTCTGCTTATTTACAGAATGGACAGGTTTGTTGGATCTATTTCTAATGTACCTGGTTACTCAGCTGATACGCAGTAAATTAAAGGGAAGCGGCTGCCCACAATGTTCAGTTGTTGCACAATGTGGGATGTTGACTGTATGGGAAATTGGCAAATACCTGTAATGATGCCTCTTAGATAAATGGATTTTTTACTATCTATTTTCCGGAAAGAGAAAATAAGGCTCCGCCTCCAGCATAAAGCTCTGAATGAATGGAAAAGTAAAATAAAATAAATGGATGATTTAAAACGATAAGTTTGCCCAGTTGACCTACATGACTATACAACCACTCCTTTACTTCGCCGCTGGATTATGTATAAACAAATTCGACAGGCTCCTTAGAATTTCAGAGTAAGGACCAAAGTAATCGGTCATGATGGTGGGCAATTTACATTTCAATCTCAGTTGTTAAAACAAAAGTATCTTGTAATAGCCCCCCGCCCCCCCCCCAATCGAAGTAGTGCCACAGTATCTTTCGATACTGACCCCCAATGTTTACTTAGAATTGTGTTATTTTTCACGTAATATTTCTTTTCGTGTTCCTCTTTTTTCGAGTTACCCTTGTATCATCCTGTACCGATTTTTCTGTGGTCATGAAGATCATGATCTCACATCTTCCCGTCTCCCCTATGTTTTGTTACAGATCACTAACGGTCAAGACGATAGTGAAGTCTCCATAGATGACCTTCCAACCAAGCTTACTGGATTGACAGAGGTAAGTTGTGCGAAGCCGCTGCATGTACCTTCGTAATCAACACTCAGAGTAAAAGCTCTGGCTGCCGGCCAGATTCGCCGGCTGATAAAGAGGTGATCACTGGCTAGTTCCTTGCCTGTGATAACGTGGCAAAGGGTATCAGCTTTCCGTGTTCTCTCTCTATACCCTGCGTTCATCTTCAAGGGATTTCAAAAGATTAAGACCTAAATTTTGTTAGCAGGTCTCTCTTTGGGCCGGCTCAGTTCTGTTTTGAACCGACAGAATATTTTATTATCTACAACCTTGCACAAGTTTGTTCGGAGAGTAATGCTATAATTAATTGTAAGCTAAACAGTAAGAATTGGAAGGCGGTAATGAAACTATTGGTTATACATGCGATCTCCTGTCCCGACCTATAATTATAGATGCTTTCTTCAAGAAAAAAGGCTAAGGGAAACGATTCACTTGTATTCTGACTTTTTTTCGCTTGTTTTTCTCCATTTAAGCATCGTTTTTAACTGCCATCGTGTTGCAGATAAGTTA